GCGGCAATATAAGTGCTATGAAAATTTTGATTCTATTTTACATTGTTTGGTAATATAAGTAATAGAATTGAAAAGGAATTTCAAGGAAAATATTTTCTCCATCAAGATGAAACCATTTTGTTTGTTTTCAAAGGAAAAATTATACTCAACCACCGCCCTCGTCCCCTCCTACCCTGCTACCCTGTCCACACCCACCCTGCTTGTCCACCCCACCCAACCCTTACCCCTTATCCCCACTCCATTGTTTTCCGCCACTCGCCATCTAGTGGGATCAAGCCTTACCCTGCCAAAACACTCATTTTATGCTGCTCGCCCATATCACTATTAAATTCGTCTTTAAAGCATATTTGTAAATATCTATTTTAAAATCTTAACAATCATGCATATTTTTGATAAACTAATTTTCTTCATACCAAACAATAAAAAATGTAGGAAGAAAATAATTTTCTTGAAGTCATTTTTTTTAAAAAATATTTTTCCCTAACCAAACAAACTCTTAATTTGGCTTGGAGCATGTTACATGTGTTCCAATATTTTTCCCTAAAGGTATGCACCACAAACTAGTGTACAAAATAGAGTAAAAATTATTGGGGTAAAATAGCTTTATGGATTTGGCTTTCCAAACACTGCCATGGCCGCCGCTATGCCCGCCCCTCTCCTGTTCTTCTTTCTCCTCCTTCTCTGCAAGCCAACGCCTTCATCTTCCTCGATTTATTCACCATTTTATAACTACCAAACCCTTGTCTCCCTCACCCACTCGCTCTTCGACCGCGTCGCCAACCACCGCGCCGCCCGCGGCGATGCAATTGGCGCCGCCCGGGCACGATCAGTCGCCGGAAGCATTGAGAGGGGGCTCGGACTTGGGTTCTGGAAGCTTATGTTGAATCTCGGATGGGACTACGCGAGGAACTACGCCTGGAGAGATGCGACGTCGTTCGAGATGCTTGGCGCCGTCTCTGACCTTAACGAGTTGCTCGGAGCTTTGGGAGAGTTGACTCGGTTCGGATCGGATGCGGAGAGGGTAGCGTGGGTGAGCAGTAATTACCGAAATGTCCTCAGAATCTCGAAGAATCTATCTGGTAAACTGCTCAAGGTCTTTCGACAATCTGTATGTTCTCCCTCCCAGTCACTGTCAATCTTTCTTCCATTCTCATATTTTGAAGTTCCAATTGCATATAATTTTGGAATTTTAGGAGAAAGACTACTACCTCCGTCCCATTTTAAATTACCTGTTTGCCTTTTTTCTCCGTCCCAGAATAAGTTGTCTGTTAAGTGTTTCTGTAAACTTTTATGAGTAAAATACCTAAACTACCTCTAAAATAAGTCACTCTTATTCACATTATCTTCTCATTCATCATGATCCCTCTTAAAAAGTACTGACAATTTCAGAAAATCAACTCTATTTTTTATTTAACTTAAATATGCCCAAAAGTCAAAACGGACGATTTAAAACAGGATGGAGGGAGTAAAATAGAAGGAAAATATAAATAAAGAACCAAAATAGTACCTATCTCAAAATATATAATAGGGAGTACCAAAAAACTATGTAATGTCAATACACATTGTTATCGTGCAATAGTTTTATTTTGGGATGAAAAACATGTTACTCTTATTTTAGTAATAAGGGCGTGTTTTGTTTCTATTTTAGGTGATTTCTTTATAATTTTGTAGTGATATACTAAAAATTTCTTTAATCATTCAGACACTGATTCATATCATTATGCTTGAGTTCATGTTTTCAAAACTTCGTTGGAATGATGCTATGCACTCTTCTTTTGCAACCGTATACTTTAAGTGGGTAATTAATGGTAAAACATGGCAAAATATGATTGTGGGTGCATATTGGCAAATCTATTGTTCTTAAATAAGCTCTAGAAGTTCCTTACGCTTAGGCGGTAAACTAGAGCCCATCATCTAGGCTCTCACTTAGCCAGGGATTAATCAAGGCATAGTTGTGGTTGGGCAAGGATAAGTCGTAGGCAGCTAAAGGAAGCCTAATGCCTTGGAGAAATTTTTAGAGCACTGTACAAATGTTAGATTTTACCCGAAACATGTGTGCTTGGTTGGATTGTAGAGTGATGTCGAAAATGCCTATGTTTGGTTGGTGATGACAAACCATTAGTGGACACTAGTACTAGTAGCATTACTAGCATAAAGTATAGCTTCACTAAATCAGTATCAGGAGGCCACGGTGAAGTACTTGGTGGGAACTCCGTGGTAGAGTTACTATAAGATTGGTTTCAATTCAAAAACCAGATTGATTTTGTGCAAGTTTTCCCAAACATGGAGTCGCTGCAGGTGATTCCTTATGCTCCTTCATCCCCATAGGGCAGGTATCGTGTTAACAAATTTCTTCCTAACAACTTATCTAACACCGAGCTTTGTGTGCATTGTGCTGCACATAAACAATGAGAAGGCTAACCTACATAAAACCTTTGTTTTTTGGTTTTGTTTTTGGTTTTGTTTCGTTTTGATTGGTGTGAATGTTTGTGTGCTTGTCATTATGGGAAACCAGGGTCCATTGCGGGAAGTAATGGAGACGGTCCAGAAAGAAGTGTGGGAGGGAGACTTACTCAAGGATTGCTTGGAGTTGGGTGGCAACGATTTGAAGGGTTTGATCCAAGTTCTGAAGGCTATTGCTTTGCAGTTTACTTCCACTTCTTCCACCCGAACCGATGATTTGTAATCGCTTGCTTGCCTGTAAGATTATTATGTTTGTGAATATTTACTAATACACTTTCAATGCTGAATTAGATTAAAAGAAATTGTCTTTGTGGCCTTTTATTGTCCAAAATAGCATGCCTCTCACAATTCAGCAGTACCCACTCTCTATATGTTTTGGCATTAGGTTCATATAGCTTTTAGAATTAGTGTTTTCTTAATATGATCATTGTTAAATAACTCTCAAACGCATTCAAAACTGTAATGCTAATAATAATCGATATTCCCAAACATACCCATGCTAAAATTACTCTTTATGTGCCGTTTTGGTCCCCCCTTTCTGGCGCACAATTTCAGTTTTTTGGGGCTGTTAGAGACTTAGAGTTACTGTTCCATTTCTGCCTCTAACTCTTTTCCAATTATTAATTTTAATTGAAATTATTTTTAACTCTAATGAACTTCAATTGAAAAATAACTCCAATTGTTAATTTTAATTCAAATTATTTTAGAGTAACTCCATTTATTCTTTATTTAATTGAAACTATTTTTAATTGAAACTAACGAAGAATGTCAATAAGAGGGCAATAGCTTCAATAGCTTAATCAATCAACCAAGGATGATCATGGCTACATTAAGGTTGTGTTCTCTTCAGCTGATCTAATCCGAACTAAATTTTTTAAGGTTGATCTGAATAGATCTCAACTAATATGACTGAACCTGGTCTGAATGGAACTCAACTGATATTAATGAAACTGATTTGAATTCATATTCAAATTATTATTATTGTTATAATATTATTATTTAAATTTTGAATTTGAATTTGAATTCAAATAATAATAATTATTATTTGAATTTGAATTCAATTTCAAATGATAATAATAATAATTGTAATTATTTTCAATAAATTTTATTACTATTATTTGAAGTTGAATGTGAATTCAAATTATTATTATTATTGTTATTGTTGTTGTTGTTGTTGTTCTTATTATTATTAAATTCAAATTCAAATGATAAAATAATAATTATCGTTATTATTTAATTTAAATTCAAGTTCGAACGATAATAATTCTAATTCTGATTTGAATGGATTTGATCTGATCTTGATTAATCTAATTTTAATTGATTTGATTCGAATTATAATAAGTAATGAGTAGCAGAAATAAGTTTAAGGGTATGTTTGGGAATAGTTTAGCGATTAGTGTTAGCGTTTTGAAAAGGCTATCTACGGACATCATTTAGCGTTAGCCTTTTCAAAGTAATCTGAACCGTTAAAATTTTATCCAAAACGTTAACGCTAATCTCTAACGCTATTCCCAAACAGGTCATAAGAAAATGGGGCTTAAGATTACATGTCAACTTTAGCAATCATTTTCAACTATTAATAGTCTTTCATTTGAAGAGATCCAAATTTGAAATAGCAGAAAGTATCTTGAAAATCTCACAATCCTGTTAGGTTGTCCAAAGTAATGCGGGTGGAACCCGAACCCGATTCGTGCCCACCCCTATTTTGTACTCTCTCATTATTTGAAAATATTAATAACAACTAGCTTTATCCCCGTGTTTTGCTCGGGCTCGCATACATTCTAAATATTTAATATTTTATACAAATTATTTCTATTTATTTAATTTTCTTAATAATTACTCCATATAATAAGTGTTATATAAATAATTTTTTTAACTTATTTATTTATACAATTTGATGAAACACTAAAATTCAATATTAATTTTACTTTAATTTATTTAATATTTTGTATATTTAAAATTTTAGTAAATTACAGGAAACGGGCTGGTCCGAGTCTATTCGTTTCTAAAATATTAGAAACCGGCCCGGCTTGTTTTGCTAAAGAACCCGCCCCGCCCCGACTTGTTTTCAAAGATAAAATTTTGGATCAGGTCCTAACTCGCCTCGAACCGTGTAGTTTAATTGGTTCCGACCCGCAGCTCCAGGACTTGTTTGTCCACCCCTAATAAATATATAAACTCAATACATTTCCAAACATTAAACTATTAATTTATTAAATTTATAATAATTAAACTTTTCATTAAAATTCAAAGTGATTTATTAAAATTAAATTAAATTAGTTTTTTAATTTAAAATTAAATTAAAAGTATAGTAAAATTGATGCATTAAATAATTAATGTACACAAAATAAAAACTAAATTGAACTTGTTTTGGAACTTTTTTTAATTAAAATAGTTAAACTAAAAACATAAAATACAAATGAATAAGTATTATTTAGGGAATAAAAATGTTTGAGTCTATATTTTGGAATATTATAAGGGGTAGAGTTTCGCACGCAGTACGTATATAAAAACGAGGCGCAGATGATTAAATTTGCCTTGAGAAACGAAGTAAAATGTTCGTCGCCCTTGAAAAGTCGGCTGCTGGAAGAGTTTCCGAAGCACATCGGAATGTAAAAAAGGCCGCCGCGCCCACTTTTTAAATACCGGCCGGCCTACACACCCCTCTCATAGTCTCATTACCTTGTTTTTCCTACTTATTTCTTCTTCTTCTTCTTCTTCTTTTTTCTGCTACTTTTGCATAAACTCCAGAAGAAATAATGGCGTTCATACTGGGCTCAATTCTCCGCTACCAAGCCATTCTCTTCGCATCTCACGCGCTCTTCCATGGCGTAGCCGACATGCGCGCTGCCCGCGGAGATGCCGTTGGCGCTGCCCGGGCCCGGTCCATTGCCCGAGCCTTGGACCGGGCGTCTGGCCTGGGTTTGTGGGGCCTTGCCACAAACCCCGGCGCGTTGGTGGAAGCATTTGAGGCTATAAAGAGAGAAGTGCTTGGGGGAGGAGATTTGGTGAAGGATTTGGTGCTGTTGGGTGGGAGTGGTTTGAATGACTTGGTTAAAGTTTTGAAGGATATTATTGCTTCCCAAGCGGTAGGGAATCATTGATTATTAGTTTCCATTAGTTTGAATCTTTACTTCTTAATTACCTTCCAACTTCCAAGTAAATACTCTCTACTCAATTTTGTCAAAATTAAATTTGGGTCTCATTTTGAATTTTGGTTAACTGCTGTATTGTGTATTATTGTAATGTTGTGTTCCTTTTGGTTAACATACGGAAGTTTGTTGAATTGGTAACTTTTACAAAGTACGTAGGTAACATAATTTTTCTCCAAAAATTTTTGGGTGACATTATATATAATCTTCGAACATGCGCTTTGAAGGACTTTTGTGATGCTCTAAGATGATCTAGTACAGTACACTTTAGTCCTCGCACAATTATTTTGGAATTCATGCACTAGCAAATTTGGCTCGTCTGCGATGCTTTACCATTTCTTGTATACAAAGAAGAGATAATTATTAAGTAAACTTTTAATCAAATGAAAAAAAGTATAAATTTTTTATATGGTCGCAATTATTTCTCCATCTTCCTTCCTTCCTACGGCATCTTTGTCCACCTTCCCTCCCTATCGTAGTATCGTCGTTCATTATGACAGTAATGAACGGTAGGGATCTGTTTGATTCTCTTCTAGGCGGACTAATTAAGATTGTTTCTTTGCAATCTACATTCTCATGATCCTGTAAAATTGGAAGACAATAATTACCCATGGTAGTCTTCTACTGGGAAAGCTACTCAGCTACACTTATTGCAGACCGTCTCCTCGGGTATGTTGATGGAACTGATCGATGGTCCACCACTTTCGCTTTACCCTCTTCCTATATAAAGAGATTAGTTGTCTTTGGTGTTTTGCATGCCATATATAAAAGAGAAATTTGCACTAAATAGTACTCCCTCCGTCCCACAAAATATTTATTGTTTTGAATTTTAAGGATTTTTAAGAGGAGTGTATTTTGGTATTGATTTTTTAAAAACATCCTTGAATGTGATGGTATAAGTAGATGTGATTGATAGATTAGTAATGAAAAAGTGTGATGTGATAGGTAGGTTAAGAATCAATACGGGTAAAAGTAACTTTTTAATAGAAATGAGAAAAGTTTTTTGAGATAAATGAAAAAAGATACTCTCTTCGGTCGGAAATGTTCTTCACATAAAAGAAAGGTTTTGTGGGACGGAAAGAGTACTCTCTCCATTTCTAAAATGGTTCTGATTTTGACTTTGGGGTAAAATAAGGAAAGTATAATTTTAGTTGACTTTCCAATTTTGTCCATAATGTGATTGGTAAAAGTAAGATGTAATAGTTTAGTTATTAGTGAAAACGTATAATGTGTTAGGTAGTGTATGAAAAAGTAGGGATAAAAGTGGTTTTTAAAAAAAGAAATGTTTTAAGGAAAACAAAAAAATGAAACAGGAAGGGTTTAAAGAAACGAATGGAGTATGTCATTTTCTAATGTAGTACTTAAATTTTTTATTTCATTAAAATTTCAGTGATTGTGGACATTTAGTTTGAATAATGTCTAGTAGCCGTGAACATTTACTTGAAAAATGACAAGTGGACATCGAACACTAAGGGGCTGTTTGTTTCAGCCTCTTAATGGTTCAGATGTTTGAATGGTTCAGCACTTAATGGTTCAGACTGTTTGTTTCAGCCTCTTAATGGTTCAGATGTCTGAATGGTTAAGAGATTTGCCTCTGAATGGTTAAGTATTATACAGAGTCTGAATGGTTAAGACCTCTTATCTGAATTGATCAGACATTTGCCTCTGAATAGTTAAGCAATATACTAGCTCTTAATGGTTCAGATCCCTTACTGGTTCAACACTTAATGGTTCAGACCTCTTACTGATTCAGCACTTACCGATTCAGAAGTTGCCAAACAACCCCTAATACTACATTGACAAATAAAAACATATGATACTATATTGGGAAAGTCGGCCTAAAAATTAATAAGGGTAAAAATAATTTTTTAATAGAATGAAAAAAGATTTTGTGTGACAACAAAAAAAAGAAAGGGTAAAGAGTTTTTAGAATGGAGGTAGTAATTCCAAGAGTGAATTCTCAAAATGGTCATTTCTATTAAGATCTTTTTTCCTAATTAATCTTCGAAAATAACTACTTCGATCCTTCCGTCCCACTAAATATTTCTCCTTTCTTTTTTCATCCATCCCAAAAACCTTTCTCATTTCTATTAAAAAATTATTTTTACCCCTAGCAATTTCTAACATACCTATCATATCACTCTTTTTTACTATTAATATACCAATCAGATATACTTTCATCAATTACATTTAAGGACATTTTTGGAAAGTCAACACCAAAATACACTCTCTTTAAGTCCTTTAAAAGTAAAAACCAAAAATGTTTTGTGGGACGGATGGAGTATTAAATGTCATTCAAATATAAATATTTTGATATTTTCTATAATCTAGACATAAAGTATGTTTTCAAAATGTTTCTTTATAATTAAGTACTACCTCCGTCCCAAAAAGAATGTTACATTTTATTTTTTTGCGCATCACAAAAAGCACTGCTACTCACATCTAAAAATTCTAAAATTTACCATATTTGCTCTTTAGTATAACATGAAATTGTTTTGAAAGTTTTTTTGGCATTTGAGACGATATAAAAGTGTTTTAAGGGATGCGCAAAAAATGAAACGTAACATTCTTTTTGGAACGGAGGGAGTATTTTTTTGAACTCATAATTTTTAAATAAATATTTTCTTGAAATGGAATCCATGAACATACTCGAGGTGAGTTCGTTTTTCTAGCATCCTACTTAATTTGAAAAAACTATTTTGAGGACCTATTCATAATTTAGATAATGAAAAAAATACCAAAATACCATTCATTTTAATTGTCATCTAATAATCACTTTTGACATATGACTACTCTATGTTTAGGAAAAACATTTGAACTACAAAAAAATTAATTTGAAAAAGCACCTTTGCGTTTGGGAATTCATTCTAAATCGAAATATCCACCTAAAATTACATAAGCTCGATCGTAAAATTACACATAAATGTCCGTCGCCATAGAAATGTGAACAGCCCCTTAGCTTGATAAGTCGGCCGCATGCTATAGTTTTCGGAGTCCTTCGTACATCGGAATGCAAAACGGCCACTTCAGTAAACAGCTCTCATTGGCGGACAGCAGGAAACTGCGCGGGAGAGTTTGATTTGGAGTATTTCTATTTCTTTTTTGTCCATTTTCGTGCTTATATATACATGTAATACACAAAACGCACATTACACAAAATAAGCTTAATTAGCTTGTTACACACCAACTGAATTACAGAAATGGCGTTGGCACTGATGAGTTCTCTTCCTGGCTACCAAGCCATTCTCATTGCATCTTACTCGCTCGTCTATCGGTTGGCCGACCTCCGTGCTGCCCGGGGAGACGACCCTGGCGCTGCCCGGGCACGATCCATTGCCCGAGTCATCGAACGAGCGTCGGGCCTTGGTTTGTGGGGCGTTGTCACAAACCCCGTCGCGTTGGTGGAGGCATTGTGGGCGATAAAGAATGAGGTGGTCGCCGGAGGAGGTTTTTTGAAGGACGTTTTGCGGTTGGGTGGCAATGGTTTCATTGGTTTGATTCAAAAATTGAAGGGTTTTGCTTGCCAATAGAGAATGTGATTATTGATTAGTTGCTAAGTACCAGCTTGAACGTTAATTAGTTTATAACTTCTTTCTTTCAACTTTAATTAAGATCTCTAGAATTAAAATGTGGGCTTAATGAAAGTTTGTAGGTATTTCTAGTGACACTAGTGTAGAGCTTGGTTCCACTTTTAAGCTGCTGCATGCAATTCCTTTTGATATCTACTATCTATTTGAATTGGAGTTTAATTTGTTCTTATGACAGTGTGGGCAAGCAAGAGAGAGTTTAGGGTGGCGGCCGGATCCCGGATCCCAAGCTAGGGGTCTGTTGGATTTTTTAAGATTTTTAAAATCTAAGTCTATTCAATCTGAATTTTTAAAAAAACTTTAAAAATCTTGAGGTATTCAATAGGGATTTTTCAAAGTCTTTAAAAATATTGAAGTATTCAACTTGGATTTTCAACCTCCAGGCCAAAATGAGTGCTAGGCCGCTAGCAAAGTAGCAAGTGAAACAATAACATTCCAACCTCCATGCCAAAATGTTTTTAAAAATTTGCTCTATATAAGACTAAAAAGTTGTACATTTCCTTGAATATGATCAAATTTGCTTTATTCCCTTTATGACATATAATTTTATATGATTTGTCATATATGCTTTCATTAGCAACAAATATTGGATAATGACTAATTAATGACTCTACGAATATATGTAGTCATTAGTATCAAGTGTTGGATAATAACTAATTATATCAATAATGACTAAACAAATTGGTTTTAATAGTATTTTAGTCTACTTGAATTGTGTAATATGTCATTTTTCTCAAAGACATGGTATTTTAGAACTTTTCATTGCCAAATGTTGGAGTAGATATTACAGGTCCTATT